GTGTGTGTGTGTGTGTGTGTGTGTGTGTGTGTGTGTGTGTGTGTGTGTGTGTGTGTGTGTGTGTGTGTGTGTGTGTGTGTGTGTGTGTGTGTGTGTGTGAGAGAGAGAGAGTTAATTAATTAATTTACATGTCAATTATTCATATACACTAAAACCTACAAGTTGCTGTTGGGGTTCCTTATAACAGCAGTTCCACTTGTCCGTAACCCTATGAAGGTTTACAGACCTTGTTATTTTAAAAACAACAAAACAAATCTTTTCATTTCTAAAAGTAAATATAAAATTTATTTTATAGACAAACCACTTTCTGTTGTTACAATCTTTGTATTATATAGAGATCTTTATTCACAAAACTCATCGCTAATACAATAACATTTTCAAAACAGTCTTAAAGATTATGAACCTGTATTTATTTTCATTAACCAAATTTTAAACTGTTGGATAACAGATTAATAACATAGTAGTAGTAGACTTTTTCTTGAGGAAGATTGTGTACTGTAGATGGGCTAAAGTTCTGTTGTTGTCCGAGAAGTCAGGGTTTGGACACGTTTGGCATTGCAGTTTTTGCACAAAATGTGATCATCCAAAGGATAACAACCATAGCCTTCAGCTTCTGATGACAGCAAAATGTTGCAATCCTTCAGAAACGAGAAGATTAAATAGTAAACATTACTGTTATTTGAGGATTTTCTTAAGTTTATTTTGAAATTTAAATAAGGAAACTTGATCAAAGAATCAAAATGACCAATCGAAGTACATAATAATGTAGGAGGAAATTCATAAAGAAAAACATAACAGTTATAACCCATCGTGGAAAGTTGTTTAAACCATGTAATAACGATTGTCATAAATTAGCTCTATGTCTGTCTGTCTGTGTCGAACATACTTGAAAAATATCCATGTATGGTTTGTTGATTACGTGTCATAACTATAATTCAAAATAATCACATTCAAATGTCATGAACAGACACAAATAAATATTATAGAATTGTAAAATAAGTGAGCCTTATAACTTTCACTTCAAATCTTCTTGAAGAATCTAGGTTATGGAATAGCATTATGGGAATTCCATAACATTTTGTATTACCATATTCGCCTGATAATAATGCGATGTTTTTTGAATAATAACTAGGCTGTAAAATTCCTAGTCGCCTTATAATCGTAGCTGACCACAGGCCCCCCGTTTTCTCTACTCTAGCCTGTCAGATTCCTGAATGTCCAGATAGTATCTGTCTACAGATGTTTGCTCAAGGTAATGGCTAATTCTTGTAACAAATGCATCTCCAGGAGCCAAAATGGTACTTTTAATAACTAAAGTACAATGCTTTGTTGAATAACAACTGTAGGTGACCCGTAATAAGTCTCCTCAAACAAGTGACATTTTGCAGTCACCACTAGTCTGTTGTTTCTTACAATGGTGAAAGTTTCAATAAACTTACTTTAACCATCTTAAAGAATCCTTCTTGATCCTGTAGGTTATTTTCTCGTCTAATCTTTTCTGCTCACAATATGAAGCAGTCCATTAACATTTTCAAGATCAAATGTAAGTGCAGTGTAGTGTAACTTACCTCGCATCTGTAACAGTCTACGTGAAAACTTCTGTCCAAGGCCACAACTCTGACCGTCTCTTGCAGGTCTGGTTCGGGCATGATTGGTTGTTTACACACACAACATCTAGGAGCAAATTTTCTGCAAAAGTCATACTAGCTAATTAAAGTGGGTATCCATTTCTTGAAGGTTAGAAAAACAAATGACTAAGGTTAAAAGAATCAATAAACTCGAATTTCCTGAACTAGTAAATAACATTCTATACACAACAAATTAAGTTAAAAACTGAGATAAAAAAATAAAATTAATAGTGAAACTCATCTTCAGAATCTGAGAAGACCACAAGAAACTTTCAGAAATATTTACTTGACTCTAGAAGAAACAGATACTTTACTTGTGAAAATCATCAATGCAGTAAATCTGGTTGGTAGCATCTACTGTGAATGGGACACTGTCAAGACACTTCCCACAAACTACACACTTAAAACACTCTGGATGATATGGATTGCCAGTAGCTCGTAAGATCTACATAAAAATAAAGAATTAAAATTATGAATTATAAACTTCTTACATATGTCATTTTGGGCCACATAATTTTATTTCTTCGCAGTATTTAAGAGTAACCTAAGAGGGTATCTATATTTTACATCCATTACGAACTCTTAAGTCACAAACTTTGCAGCTAACTACAAGCAGTTTTATGTAAATTACAAAAATAAAACAATTATAAAAGTGAGAATTGAATTTTCCTTAACTTTGTTTTGTCCAATTATATTACGAACATATACATTTTGATAAAATAGTAATGGATCATTCAATAAAGTTCAAAGTCTTGTACAACTGAAATATACATATATTTGGGAGCGTTAAAGTTGTTCATAACAGTAAACTGATTACTTTGATTATAAAATACAAATTATTTTAAAACTACTTTTAAAAAAAGAATCACGTAGTTGGTAATTTCAGAATAATACTCGACAGGAGGGTTAATGATTCGTTAGTATGTGGAATATTCTCTGTACTTTTGTTTATTTATGAAGAAAACTTTAATCATCTAATATGCGATCGTTATATCCTGTAAAGCTGGAGAGAGGGCAAACTAAAGTCTACAGGGGTAAATGCCCCACATAGCAAATTATTCCCCTATCTTTAAGCATTCCTTGTTATAGAAGATTCTCTTAAACAGTAGTTTAAGCATTTGTGTAAGAAATGCTGTCTTCACTAACAGTGCATGAAATATGTATATGCAAGTTGCCATACAAGACCAACAAATGGAAGATTTAATGCTATTATGGGTATAATGACCAAGATTTCAACCTTCCACAACTAGTTTGCAGTATATCTTTAGTCACAAATATTCAGGTAAATTTTTCAGTTAGGTGTTCTACAGTTAGTACGACACCCTTGCCAACAGAATGTTGAAAATTATTAAACATATTATATATGAACTGTTCTTTTTATTTACGTAAATGTTAAATATGCCAACAGCTAGAAATCTATTGGGATCTTGATCTGTGTCTGTACCCCTGAGGCAAGACCAAAGGATAGTGCAGATACTTGTACAAATTGGTACGAGTTAGGAGAAAAAACAAAACAAAAGAAGTATTTACCTTCTAAACGTTATTTGTAATAAATCAGTGATGTGTGCAGCATTTGAGTTTGGTGTAATTCACTTTAACCTTTTGCTAACTAGAAGCCAGACTCAGTTGCAAATAGACATGATAAAAAATTATTGAATAAATATTTATTTGTGTGTTTGTGCATGTTTCTTTCCTTTGCTGTTCAAGTTTGAAATTATTATCTGCAGTACATTTCCTGAATCTTCATTTTGCAGGCAACTTTAAAACCTCTGTTGGGCATCAGTACATCTGAATAGTGAGGTATCATAAAGCCATTAGTAAAACAAACTTCTGATGGTTTATTTCAAAATCTGGCCATTTCCTTTTTATGTATATAAATGTTAAGTTTAGCCATTCTCTTAATTACAAGACAATTAAGTTTGTGTTTCAATCTTAGGGAAAAAAAAACAACAAAGCATTGTGTTTTGTACATTAATCTGTACGACATTGTCCTTTTAACAAAAATGTTTAGCAAGATAGTTTTAACAGAAACTTAAGTAAAAATTAGTATAATATTTTATAGATAAAGGCCAACTGCATGATCTAAAGTTTTATTAAAAATCATGTAAAGAGGGTACTGCTGAAATAATTTTATTCAGCAGAACATTGTAAATTTGTTTATTATTTTTGTTATTTAATGTGTTTTAGTTATTTTAAATTCAACAAGTTTCATTACAAACTGAAAATTATAAGCATATAAACAAAATAAACTTGCCCTTTCACAAATGGGATTTCCACAGACATAGCACTTTTCAAGAGAATTCTGTAAAAATATAAATCAAAATACGATTGACTGAAAAACAGTTATGTCTATCTACACTAATACTAAAAATGAAAAAAAAAAGGCATAAGAAAACAGATGGGTTAAGTAACCAAGCCAAATATACAAGAAACTGTGTTATATAAATTATGATTTCAGGATTTGTAGTTGTTTTAATTAACACCTACTCTAAAGTTTATTAATTAAAACACTCCATAATATTACAATTATTTTGATTCTTATCATCAAAAAAGGTAAATACAGATGGGAGAATAACGTTTATATTTGGTTGGAAATATCTTGAGATACTCTTATCATTTGAGCGTTTGTTTCCGAGATCACTGACATATATGATGGGAAGACACAAGTACTGGGGAATGGGCAGTAATAGCAAAGTTTGAAATCACTTTATTTAACTAATTCCAACTCACCAAGTAATCTTCTTCACAGTGTGGGTTCCCATCCACTATATAAAATGATTTTCCTTGCAGTTCCTTATCTGAAAATATAAAAATTGTTTTGTCAAAATTAACAGTTATTATGGTTCACGACAATTTACAACAGATCCTAAAGTAACCTATTACTTCCTTAAAACAAAAAGATAGTTAGGAAAAAAAAGGTGTTACTGCATGAAATTGAAGTCTAAAATTCACAATAAAAATTGTTCAGCATTTGTTCCTTTCAACCTTGTCCATCATTTCTTTACAGTCTTCTAGAATAGAACTCGCTGGAACCATGGATTTAATCCAGTTTTATCTAGATTCCTATTATTATTATTTTTTTTTTTATTAAATTGAGTGCTACATAATTTAATACTATAAACCAAGAAAGAAAGAGTCATTAAATCTATGAAAGTACATTAAAATAAAGCATCATACGTTTTTGGCATTGTCACAGGTGAAAGAATATCACTTACGGCAAACATGGCAAGTGAAGCAATGCCTATGGTAAATTTGACTCATTGCTGTACAACCACCTTCTGCTCCAAGCACGTTTTCACCACATTTGTAACAAATTCCTAGGCAAAAAGAGCAAGATATTTTCAATAATACTAAATTATACGAATCAGAATAGTATTGAAGCGCTTCCAATCACTGTATTATTGAACATACACAATAAAGACGCAAGTTAATCTATAAATAACTGTTGTTTCTTAAAATTGGTTAAAAGACACAGAATTATAATTTTTTATTGTACGTAGAAGATTTAAGAAAAAAAAAACAACCTTAAACTCTCAATGATCCCATTAGGATGAATGAAACTTTAGCAGAACATCAATAGATTTTTCCCATAATGCTTCAAATGAAAAGTTCAATGGATAACAGAAAAAAAAAAACTCATGGCTTTAATGCTTAATCAGTTGTTATTAGTGGCATAACAAGCCACATACTTAGAAGTGTGAATGTAACATCTTTAAAATAACTTGAGTCTTGCACATGAGCTTGCTACAGTGCAATTCATTACAATAACTTAATCCAAGCAAAGAAGAATCACTTATCTCTGTATCAGTCTTTCCTCGGAAACAAGGGAGAACAAGTTAATCCTACATAATGCTTATTACCAAAATGAAAAGTTAAGCCTATTAAGTTTAATAGAAAAAAACTGAGTAGGTAAAAAATATATTTAAAATATTGACCTAAAAAATCAGGATCACTTGAATTTTCCATGCTTCGTACCAGAAGGTCTGTCAGATCGTCAATCTGAACTTTTTGTCCAGTGGATGGTCCTCCTTCCAAAGGTTGGGTCATCATTCCAGTGGCTGGCTTCCTTTCATGGTGATGGTCGGAATAGAGCAGTGACTTAGAAGGCATTTGACTGTTGGCTGGTCTAGGAACGATGGGGTTGTACATTGGACCCGTATCATAAGTTCTCTGGAAGATTTTAAGCCTATTTATAGCTTGCAGTATTTCATATTATGAAATTATTATTGTTAATGATAATACACATTCAATGAAGAAATATTCTAAACCCAAGTTAGATTTAAATTACATAAAAGAAAAACTTCAAAGAAGTAAGTAGTAATTCAAATATACAGTTTTTAAGAAGTAATAGTAGGAACATTATTTCAACTAAACACATTAAGCATTAATCTTTTAAAAAACATTAATTTAAGAAGATATAAAAATATTACATAATTATTACATTGGTAATTGATACTGTAGGATTTTTACAACATCTTTTCCTGAAACCAATGTCTCATTTAAGTACATGAATCTATCACTCAATCCTTATTTTATTATACATTTACAAATTATGATGCCTTTTCAAGAAATGGAATGTTGCTTTTCTACAAAACGCTAACTGTGGAGCTTAAGATAATTTAAAAACATAAAATAAGATGTGGGCTTCTTACCATTGGAGACTGAAGTTGATGCTCTTCTGGAGGAGGTGGTGGAGGAGGGAATGCATAACTGCTGGGAGGAGAATACCTTGTTCTCTGTGGTGGTAGTGGTGGCGGAGGAGGGAATGCATAACTGCTGGGAGGAGAATATCATTGTCTGTGGTGGTAGTGGTGGTGGAGGAGGGAATGCATAACTGCTGGGAGGAGAATACCTTGTTGTCTGTGGTGGTGGTGGTGGAGGTGGAAGTTCGTCATCAGTGGAAAGAGTACTATAGGAAGAATACAATGGTCTGCCCACTGTAAAATAATGCAAAATTAAGAAAGATTTAAATAATTAAGTAACATTCATGAATACTCATCTAGATAGTCACACTGTAAATAACATGAAAATGTCTTTATGCTTATTTTAAATAGTAATATCGGCTACATATTTATAACACCTATAAAACACGTGAAACTATATAATGAAGTTGTTCAAAGTGACAGTTTTTTTTTTTTAACCAAGAATAGAAGAGAAAAGTAATATTACCACTACTGTCATCCAGTCTGATGAGCCATGGCCTTGTTAGCATTGGATATAACCAGAGGCATCACTAGGCACTGGCACATTGGGCCCATGCCCCAAATCCCCAGCTGGTGTCTTGAAAAATCTGAATAAAAAACTAAGATCGATGTCATACCGAAATGCTGAACATTCCCATACCTATGGGCCCAAGCCCAGAATCCTTTAAGCTCCTAGGAATGACATTGAATGTAGCAGATATAATGAGGATGACACTTTTATACATTCGTCTTTACTTTCTCCCATAACTTCAGGTTTCCAACAGATGCATTTCAAATGATATTACAAGATATGCCACTTACGTATGGCACATATTTAGCTCCTAACATTAAGTACTACGACAATAACAAACAAGTTGTACATTTCCAATTCCTCATTTATTCTGTACCAGTCCAAGATGTTGGATCACTTAGGAGGGTTAGGTGCACCGATTGAACACTTCCTTCAACAGTGTAAACTCATGGATACAAGTATTACTCCTATGCAGCCATTAGGAATAAAAAGGCTATTAAAGTCTACTGATACTTCTACAGAAGGTTGAGTAACCTATATCAGAATGATTTTGGAGTCTTACAGTATATTACAGTGTCATTACAGTATATGCTACCACATATGGTCATTCTCTATCTAACAATCATCCACCTTGAGACAGTAGCTCTGCTGCATAAATTCCATTGACAAAAAAAAAAAAGACTCCATTGTAAGGTTCTTATGTCCAATGCACACAAATACACCATGTTTACTTTCCATTATCCATCTACATTATAATAACAGCTTTCCAATGCCTGTTTTAACAGTCTGATCACACAGAAATCCATCAGTGCTGCAATCAGAGACAAGACCAGTAGTTCTTTGATACATGTTTCAATTTCTAGCTGCTTCTAGTATGCAACAGTTGAATGGATATGTCATTGAAGCAACTTGTACACATGTGAATTCTGTCACTTTTCTAGATGAAGATTCTTCATGATTATGTTGCATATTTTTGTCTATGACACATGGACAGCTTTTGCCACTTATCTTTCTGTTTGTAGAATCTCACCTGTTACAAAACACAACATGTTTCTTATCACAGATGGGGTGGAACTTGTTTCAGGTCATTTTCTAGATAGTCCTGGTGCCCCAACTTAATCCATTCCTCTTTATATATCAATGTCATTAGGTCAAATGTATATCCTCATCCTTTAAATTCTAAATACATGATTTGAACTCATCTTTATGATATCAATATATGCATATTTTGCTTTTGAAAAAAAGGATGTTACATACCTTCCCAAAAGCAATCAATTTTCAGTGGCATCAAATTACCTGCAAAACTCCACACAATGTCAAAGTGTATTTCCGATACATTCCCTTCAACCGAGATTTTATATTGGCTGTAGCTGTCATACGACTTGCTGATTAGCGTTTTCGAAGTAGTTAATATAACTTACACACCCCCTGCATAAGCCAGTAGCCCCTTCTCTACCATCCGTGGATAGATACAATTAGAACACGTGGTTTTAATCTCGCTTTCACTTGTCAATGTACAATTTATACTTGTTAATATCACAAACAGTCAAATTATAAGAATATAAATATTAAAGCTTTTGTTACGTAACATTAGGAAATTTGAACAGATGCTTAAGTGGGATAGGTAACTATTCTCATTTCGATCAGGTAAGAAATAGCTATCTGTTTTTGTTGAAGTCTTTCTTGAAGTAATTTACTGAACACTGTAGAAGTCTGAAGTTTTACATGACTACATAAGAATATCCTGGATGTCTTTCTGGATACTTTTGCAGGCTGTGCAAGGTAGTGAATTTTATTTCATTTTTTGTTACAACATTTATCCAGGCTGTGCTGCTATATTCAATTAAGGGTATACACAATAACCAAAGTCGTTTGTTTTAATAAATCTTCAAAAATTGGTAAACGCTCACACAAAGTATACCTTTCATGGGAACCTTTTCCGGGTAGCCACTTCAGCTAAATTATTTTGATCTAACCCAGGATTCGCCTGGACTAATACATAATAACGTTAAACACAATTTGGAGACGAGCTATTAATGTTTGAAGTCCTGTTGTCAACAGTAGATTACGTAGTTTATTTAACATACAACACATATCGATATATCTAACTTTAATACGGAATTGAGTGCAATAAATAGTCTTTCCTTTCTTTTTTAGTCTACATTCCTGTATTGTGAAATCCGATTGATTTTGATGTAAATTCTAGCTTCCAAAAAGTGCTTGAAAAACGTTCTGAGAATGCTTAAAAAAGTCCATGGATTCGACATGAACCATAGATTTGTGCAGTGAATGAAATATTAAAATAAATTCAGCTATTATAATATTTTCAAGTACTTTTGCAAAAAAATAAGCCCTTGAAATTCCATTCTCAATTTCAAACACTTTCAAGGATGCGTGTGCATGCACACTGCCAATCTTCTGTCGAGTTTAGACGAGGTTGAAGGTTTGTGGAAGCTATGGATGTATTTGAGTAACTCTTCCAGACCATCAAGTCAACCGTAACGAAATTATTATAACACCGAAAAATTAACCTATTACGAGTCTTCCACGTTTACCTTAAATTTCTCATCCAAAAGCCTGCGGATGATACACCGCAGTAGTTACATTTGAAACACACAATTAGGCCTATCAAAGGTTTTATTTTTATACCTCTAGAAAACAACAGTGCAATAATTGTTATTAAAAGCTATAAATGATCGTTTCTCTAATCCTGATTAAACGATCTGCAATTCGTCCGAGATTTCTAGATCCATTTTGAATTTGCGAGTTATTTAAAATACTGTTTATAATTTTTTTCTTTCAATAGTTTTTGCCTGGGCAGTTAGTAAGGCTAATTAGTGTCATTGAGAGTTGATGGAAAACAGTGTAAAGAGTGAGATATTGTTTCTAAAAAGTGTTTATTGTTGAAGAATGCATCTTTATAGATTTCATTTGCGTTTTAAGAAGTGTTTCAAACGAATCAGGATTTTGATTGTTGATGTTCGATTTTATTGTCTTGGCCAATTTTAATATATCTTGAGTTGTGTCAAGAAACCGGCTGGGTCCAATTTTAAATTCAATTGAAAACACAAATCGCCACAATTACCTTTATCATTTATTTTCACCTCATTTCGTATGGTGTTTGTAAGCGCAAGAGTTGATTTTCGTTATAATTTGTGGGTTATTTATATTAATATATATTTTACTCGGTTGTATTTGTTCTTTGATGGTGTTTATGATTTAAGAGTTTGGTTTCCATGTGTTGTGATTGATGTATTGTGTGCGTTTTAGTAAATATTAAGTTAAAAGTCAAACAGCGCCAAAAACACGTTACAATGACGTTTCGTTTCTGACACACAACTCCCCCCTCCTAAACGTTTGCCTGAAATTGTTTTAAATAAATATAAAAAACCTACTATAATGAAAAATTCTGTTACTTGTGAATTAAATATACCTCAGTGTTTTATTAAGTACAAAATACAACCAAATAATGAAATATTTTATTTATCTATCTAAAAAAGCATTCGCGCGCGCGTGTCCCAAGCTAACCCTTACTACACGACCCACTTTTACTTTGTTTAAAACTGAAGCTGGTAATTTTCTCTCACCACACAGTCGATGAACTTCAAACATAGATATCTCATTGTTGTTTCTTTTCTTACAATAATCTTAAGTCCTTTAAGAAAGAAAACAAAAGTAAGTATTAATTTTAAAATGTCAAGACAGTTATCCAACATGAATACTTAATAACAATAACGAGCGACTTCATAGTTAAAGTCACCAAACATTGACTGTTTGCGATCTCCTATGTTCACTGATAGAGCTCTATCAAATCATTCAGTATGCATGGAGTCACTCTCTCGTAGGAGCTGGCATCAGGCACAGTGCAACCGTTTTGTCTCAAGAGCATGTAGTTAAAAGTAAAACACACGGATATGGTATAAAAACACTCGACAAAATGCCTTTCTAGAGCTACACTGTGTATTTAAAACGTACACATTTTACAAAATGTTTATCATTTACATAAAATACAACGAAGGTTGGCTGGATAGGAGTGTTTGTTTTTAATTATGCACAAAGCTACACAAGGGCTATCTGTGCTCTGCCCACCACGGGTATCGAAACCCGGATGCTAGCGTTGTAAGTCCGCAGACATACCGCTGTGACACTGGGGGGCAGGATAGGAGTGTGAAATGCGTTACAAAAGTCAAAGTTGTTACTATGTAGTGCGGTTAGAGATATAGTAATTCGAAAATAACACAGACGTAAATACGTCACCATTTGTACTTTCGAAACTGTTACTCGGATTTTATTCTTGAATGCACTATGACAGCTATAACTCGAGAAATAAAATTTAGGCAAGTGATGACGTAAATTTTGAGTGACCTTTCAATAAGTGTCACGTAGTTTTACTACTGCATAATTGAAGTGTGCCATCCACTGCTGCTTAATTTATGAGGAAGTGGAGTCGCGTTCTCTCTCGGTAATATACGAGTATTCAGTTTATTACTGAGGTTTGGTTTGAATTTCGCGCAAAGCTACACGAAGACTCCGAGATTGTTTGTTTGTTTGTTTGT